GGGTTTTTTTTTTTGGTTTTTTTTTGTTTTTTTTTTGTCCAATGAGAAACTAAACCATGGTGCATCTCCTCTCCGTAACAGTAGCAGGGAACAGCTGTACTCTGCTGAGCCGTGGAAATTTAGGGGTGCCTCAAATGTAGGATGGCTCTGGGAGAGGGTAATGATCAGTTTGCTGAGTAGAGAGTGGCAGAGGCCTAACAAGCCAGGTGGAAATCTAGGTGGGCAGGGGTCGGATCTGCGTAGGTCTGCAACCAACCTGCACCGCACAGGTGTCTTGCTGCAGGTCTGTCTTCTGCGGGAGGAAGGGCAGAATTGGGCATCTTCTGCGTAACGCTGATGTGATTCCTCCTATGGAGGAGCAGAGGGAGCTCCAGAGTCTTAATGAATCCTGGCAACTTCCTCCTCTTCCTTCCCCATGAGACTGGCCCGCTCCTGAGTGCAGCTCTGTACTAACACAGGAGTCACCGAGAACACGCTTACCTGAATCACGCCGCCTGGCTCAGACCCTCAGCGCGGCCTTTGCTCAAGGAGCTTTGTGTTTCTCAACCGGGCTAGTGTAAAGAAGGGTGTAGGAGCTGTGCTTTCTATTCCATAGGTATCTCTTTAAAGGGACGAGCCAGGAAAGTCCCTGCCTCTGTCCTCTCGATCTTCCCCCAAGTAACCGCAAAACAGATGTTCTAACTGGTTTTGCTCTTGTGAGCTTCCCTGTTGCTCTTCTTCATGTTTCTGGTTGGTCCTGATGTCCAGGAACCAGAGCAGGGCTTGGGGCTGCTCGCCTCTTGCAGGCTCTGACACCATCTTGTTCTGTGACCTTGGTCAAATCACTTCACCTCTGTTCACCCACCTGTGAAGTGGGTCTGACAAAGGGGGCTGAGTGACTGGACAGCGATTAGGGTACAGGTGAAAGGGCTGAGTGTGTCATACACCCGCCATCACCTCCTCGTGGCTGGTTGCTTGCCCTCAGGAGCGCAGGTTTGTAAACTAACTCTGAAATGGAGCGTGCAACCTTTGTATCACTGGGACTATAAGGATGTGGTTTCCTACCACAGCTGTCTTCTCAAATTTCTGCGCCCTACCGCTGAGCCTTTGGCTTTGTCAATGTTCACTTCAACTCGAGACCATTTTTTTTCAACCCTCCGTGCACAGGAATGAGATCGGTACATGCTTGAAGCAACAAGTTCCCCAACTCGTTTTGGTCTCAGCCCTCGCTTACGCTGGGCTGAACTTTGTGCGACTCCAGCACGTGGTTCTTTCTGCTTGTGTGTCTGCAGTCAGCTGGGACAGGGCTTCCACATACCTTAGAGGCCCTGCAGTAACTGTCCTTGTCTCTTCTCCCACACCAAGAGCTTATGCAGCACATCTTAGCCCTGAACGTGGCTAAGGGTTAAGTTGTCCCAGTTTAGCTTTCACTGACTGTGGGGTAATTGCAGACACAGGAACAGTTGCCCCAGAGCAGTTCTGCCTCCTGCTAATTTGGGGCATTTGGAAGACTGAGGCAACACGTTGGGCTCCACTTGTAACTGCCCCAGTCCAGCAACCAGTCACTAACCCCTAGTCTGAGCATCGCTGCTGGTGACTCTCTCTTGTACTAAGCAAAGGTGAGTTGCAGCTGCAGGGTAATGGACATGCATTTCCTGAGCTACTGTAAAATCCCAGGGCAGGTTGCCCTTCGTAGCTTTTACCACGCTGCAGCTAGCTAAGGGAAACTCTTAACACCCGTCGCTTCACCTCTAGCTATGCCAGGGTAACAACCAGCGGCTTGTCCATGCTGGGGGGTGTAGGTCCACTACCTGTGCTGAGGGTGCCACTTTCTGCAGCAAAACTGAAGCAAGGGAGCTCTGCAGGGCGGTAGGAGATGGAGGAAAAAGCTGCTTGGCGGATGGCTGCAGGGGGAGGGGGGACGCGCATTCTGCCCCTGGGGCAGCCAGGCAGAGTGGAGGCAACAATGTGTGGGCTCCTCTGCTGCCTAAGCATCTGGCTTTTGGGGGCTTTCTCAATTGACCAGAGGAAAAGGGGAGAGGGGACACTGCGGGAGGCCTGAGCCAACTCGTTAGCCCTAGATGGGAAGATCTGAGTGGCCTGATTTTGAGGCAGTTCTGTCTCAAGGGGGATGTGTCTGCCCCTGTTCTGTGATAACTCCCTACACGTTGGGGCCCAGGTCACTTTATGGGGATGGGTTGTCTACCCCTCACAAGTGGCAAGTCCCTCCATGTGAGAGCTGGGAATGTCTAGTGATAAATCTGAGCTGGGTTTCCTCCACACATCCCCTGCCAGGGACCAACTCCTGATCACAATGGGGTCTGCGCCGTATTCCCAGCATAAAGAACAGCCTGTGGGATCTGTCTGGGGAACAAGGCCTAGAGTGCCGTGCTGCTGAGCTGGCATTCGGTGGCTCTGGTGGCATCACTTGCTCCACTCCAGAAGTGGGGAAATGTGGTGGGGGACGGGTGGCAGCATGCGACTTGGCCCTGCCAGTCAGGTTAGAAGGCACCGTCACAGCTGTGCCAGCCAAGCTTGGGCTTCTCCAGGCAGAAGTGTAGCTGGGGAAGTGGAGGAGGGAGAACTTTCTCCCAGCTTAATGTCCTGGAGGAGAAAGCTACATGCACAGAGCTGGTTGGCAGCTCCCCTTGTGTCATGCTGCCAGGGTCCTGGTGCTTCAGTCACAAAGCTGGATAAGGGCAGCCGGTTAGAGGGTTAGATAGCACCGTCTAACTGTGTCTGTCTTATCCCCAGGTCCCTTGCCAGAACCGGTTGTCAACGGCGAAGTAGAGAAGGTAAAGCTCACACCAAGTCTTAAGTTTTCATAGGAGGCATCTGACGCTGAGTTTGCTGATGGCTGTCAGTGCAGGATGAACGCACTCCCCTCCTTCCTCCTTCCCTCCAAAGCTAACTAGCTTTGGAGCCTTCCTGTTCCAGGGCAGAGCTGCCCTTTGCAGAAGAGAGCGGACGGCTCCGGCCCCAGCCCTGGCCCAGGCGTGTCGCTCGCTGCACGGCTCCTCCCCATCCCGCAGAACAGAATGGCCCATTCTTTCCCAGGGCAGCTGGAGCCCCGCAGCCAGGCAGCTCTTCCAAAGGCCTCGTTACTTCCAGTCTGGTTTGAAAAAACAAAACCCAATGCAACGTGGTGCAGAAGGGGGAGGCAGCTGCTGGCGAGAGCCTCCAAGGGAAGCTGAACGCACATCAGGGGAAGGAGGAAAGCCTGGGGCTTCGTCCTTAGACAGAGATGCATGCAGACCTCCTCCTCAAATTGCTCTGGGCACCACCTCTTCCAGTCAGGCACCCCACAAGAGTGGCTGAGCCCATATGTGGAACAGCCAGGTCTTGAAAGGGTCCTGCAGAAAGCTTGGGTCCTTACCCAGCTCTGTGCTTGACAAGCCGTTTCCATGCCTGGGTAGAAACTTGGAAAGGGGGAGAGCGCACAAGACTCAGAGATGCTTTTGTGGTGAGAGAGGGATTCTCTGCAAAACCACAGAGATGGAGTGAGGCAATAGAGGGCACTTATCGCATCTCTCTTCCCCACCCTTTGAACAAAAAACCTGCATCTTCTCCCCTCCATCCTGCCCAATCCTTAGGCTTGAGGCCTGGTTTGCCCGTGGTGCTTGTACTTGGCTGAGACTTGGTGTCCTGCCCCAGTGGTTATATTGGCACAACTTAGTGCCTGTTTACAGAAATAAGCAAGCACTGTATAAACACCTGTGTAACAAGGTAATTCCTGCCTTAACTGTATCACCCTGAATCTGGTATGGAAATGTGTATGGACCAGTCCCAGGGACAAGCCTCCAGCACAGGACATTTCAAATGCTGTTCTTCCCCTGGGTGAGGCTGGGAGCTGTAGTGTGACCAGTGACTTTGAAAGGCTGGAGAAAGGAAGGGTATTTTCTTGCCCCCCGAATGCCACAGACTGAAGCAGCACAGCTGGTGTCCATCCGGGGCTGGAAAGGATTAGATAGCATCACAGCCTGTCCACAAGATGCTTATTCGTCTGCAGTCTCTCAGTGGATTAAGTGCTCAGAGAGAGGATTTTCCAGCTGCCCGTTTTACAGGCCCTCCACAGAGAAGGGCGTGTTGGAGCCAATATCCACCTTTCTCTGCTTTCCATGGTCTTATGGTGATTCTGTCCATCTCCCTAACAAAGCGCCCTCAAATCCCCCCGGTGGGGTGCAGAAGAGGTCTAGCTGTTGGTAAGATCCTGTCCATGCTTAGAGGGCAGGGGCTGTTAATGAGAGCCCCAGTATTTAAGCTAATCTTTCCAGGATGCAACAGTTGGCCTTCCCTTCTGGCTCCGGCTGGAGGAGCTGAGCAGCTGTTGGTCCCTCTGGTCCCTCGGGGAATGCGGTGTGTGGTGCCCGCTCTGAAAAGAGGGCATCCCATCCCTCCAAATCCTGAAGGCTGTGACCCTCCACACAGGTGAATGTCTCAAGGGGTTAAAGGAGCAGGGTGGCTAAGGCGAATTTGCAGATGACATTTGAAGGAGGGGACACAGGGTTACCAACCAGTCTGCCCATGAGGGCCTGGGCAGCACACCTATCTGCCTGCATCCTGCCTCTCTGCATCACATTAACTCGGGTCTCACTGGTTATGTGTTTTTCCTTTCTGGAGGAGGCAATTCTCTCCTACGTGGTCTTCATGTACAGGGTATCTCAAGAGAGCAGCATTTGTAGGGACTGGACCTTTAAGTGGGGAACAGAAGATGCAGGATGGTCATGAACTTGCACCTCCTGCCCAAGTGCTCTTCCAACATGCAGGAGCCAGTTGAACTGTCCAAGAAGAGACAGGCTGTCATGGAAAGGGTGGGAGGAGGTGGTGAAAAAGGCAGGAGTGTGTCAGCTGTGTGCTCATCTCTGGGTGGAGGGGTCACCGGGGTCTCACTGGGCTTCTCTGTCTTTCAGGAGAACAGCAGAGAGCAGCGGCCAAGCTCTGTGTCTGAAAGTCTGCCTAGCCCTGAGCCAGCTTGTGCATCTCCCACTTCGAATGAAACCCACCATGAGGTGCAGCAGGTAGGGGCCCTTTTGGTGGGGATGTGGGCTGGGAGCTGAGGGACAGCTCTCCCACGGAGGGTGGAGAGGGTTCACATTTAAGCCCCTAACCCAAGCAAACTTGGTAGGGAGTGCTCTTCCCACTGTCCAAGGAGCACCCCCGGTCTGCACGCCTTCTCTGGAATAAAAGTAGCAGGAGTGCATGAGGGGCTAGGGTCGGGTGCCTGTCATGGGATTCATGAGACCAACACCTCAAGAAATCACCCCCTCCTCTCCTCCTTCCTCGGTTTTTGAGACCAATCATGGAGTACAAGCCAGATGGTTTGGAGGTGGTGGGTAGGAACAGAATGGAGAAGGGTGGAAACTAAATAGAATATGCCATATGCAAGGGGAGGACCACCAGCCCGATCAGGGGGATGAGAGGAAAAGGTCAGGGTGGACTATGACAGCTCATGTTGCCCCACTGTCACCTTTCCAGCTTAACTCTGAGGAGAAGGAGGAGCGAAACTCCGCATCTGATCTCCCCTTGGACCTCAACATTCCCCTGGCGGTGGCCAAGGAGCGGGCGCACCAGAAACGTACCAGCAAGAGGGCGCCTCAGATGGACTGGAGCAAGAAAAATGAACTGTTCAGCAACCTCTGAAGCCTTCCCTGGAAAGGGAGGCAAAACAGGGGCCATGCCAGACTCTCCCGGACCTGACCCAAATCTCCACCAGCATCCTGCTTTCCCCTCAATCTCCCGCTTCCCTAGGGAGCAGAGTCCTCCCTGCCCTTCCTCAGTTGGGACACATGATTCTCTTTCACTTTACTGTTTTCTGAAGGGAAAAAAAAAGGCTCGGTGGCTGTTGCGTGTTGCGGTGTAGGGTTAATGTTCAGAGAATGGCAAGCTGTTTTTATGCTATAAATACAGCAGCGTTCACCCATGTGGTAAGAACTGAGCTGCTCCGTGGGCCTGAAATAAACCCTGCACATTTGTAACGGGCCTCACAGGGGGGGCCTCTGCCTTTCACTCTCCATCTCACAAGCTTTTCGCTGGAAGCTGTGTAGAAAGCGTAGGCTAAGGTGATCGGGAGGGATTCACCATTTTGGGGCCCCAGCTTGAGACTCCTCAAGGGAGCCTGATTTGGTGCTCAGAAGCTCCTTCACGACCAGGCCTGGCTTTCTTCAGTATCTCAAGCTGAGCCCCCAAAATCATTAGTTTTAGTTCTGAATATTTCAGCCCTAGGCTTTTAGCATCTTTTTAACATCTCCGACTCCAGCGTGGCCAAGAACCAAACCACATTCTTTCTGAGAACCGACCTTTTTGACCTCTGACCTGAGACTTGCATCCACGGTGGTCCACCTCCCCCTGCCTTTCCCCAAAGTCCTCTGGTTTTGGGGGGGTTGCCCAAGAGGGCATTGCAGCTGAACTGGCTTAGTCTGCTAAGAGCAACCTCAGTAAAACAACGTGTCCTGAATACAACTCGGCCGACCCATGCAAACCGTGAGCCAGCTTCCCCTCCAAAACTTCAGCTCTCCAGGGTAGCCGAGACCTCAGAACAAGAGGGAAAGGGGGAACTTTTTCTTCCCATGTTACAACCCGCAGGGTTCATTTCCGCCTGGGGAGGAAGGGTGGGTGGCGTTTGGACCAATCGTCGCAACTGATGTTCAGTTACTCCTGAAGAAGGAACTGCTAGAGTGCTTAATTTAAAGGTTCCTGAATGGACTGTTTCTTTTATGACATGTTTCCAATCACCTTTTTTTTTTTTTTTTTAAATGTATTTTGAGGAAATTATTTCTTGCAGAAGTTTTATTTCCATGTTTGCGATCCGGTGTTGTACTTTCAAACTCAAGAAAAATTCTGTTTACTGGAATAAACCCTTCCGACTTCGCATTTGTTTTCAGGCTAAATCCTTCTAACGCTGGAGCCTGGGTGCTCCAAGCAATCCTCTCTTCTATAGGGCTCTTCTTTCACTACAGATAGAGCCCTGCGACTATAACTGTCACCAGCTGCATGCGTCTAATAGGATCTGGGAGGAGGGCCTGCAATGGCCACGTATCAATGTCCTGACATGCTCTTACCACAGTATTAGCATGTTGTAAAGGAAATCTGGGCAGATCTCCAGTGCTGGCTCAGGTAGTGATGCAGTGTATTCTTGGATATCTAGGACCGCTTCACCTAGTTTTACGGAGGGAGGCTGTCCTTTCTTCACAACGGGTTAAAGCTCTTCAGTGTGGCCTTGCCTGCCACGGTGTCCCCATCTCTGTTGACATGGGGGTGAAGTCAGACTTGCAGGTAACTTGGCCCAGTGCAGCACAGCACTGAGGCAGGGAAGGAAATGCTCCTCCAAAAATGTCTTGAGGGTGTTTGCACGTCTAGACTGCTGACTGTGCAGCGGATGGAAAACAGCAGAAGAGCTCCATCGCTCGCTCAGTGACTTCTTTGTACGATGGCCGCGTGGAAAAAGTTGGTTCTGATTAATCGGGCCATAAGAGCTGGCCCAAAACAAAAATGCACCATTTAATTTTCAGATGATTTAATCGTTAGGCATGCTTTAAGAGGACTGTCAGGTCATTTTCAAAACTGTTCGGACATCTTGGAAATGTTCTTCCAGGGGTTGGCCCAAACCATTCATCCAGTGCAATGTGAATTTAGGGAGAGCTTGTTCCCCTAGAACTGCAAGTTTTTTGGCAAATCCATTGTTAACTGCCAACAATTTGTCTCTCGGAGATAAATTGGCTCTTACCTGGTGGCCACTACATTCGGGGGAGGAATAGCTGACCCTTGGCAGGTTCTGTGTCAAAGGCTAATTCTACACCCTGTGTCCAGTGCATCAGAAAGTTGAGTTTATGGGTGAGGGGGGGTAAAAGCAATCCGGGCTCATGGTAGAGGTGATATCTTTTATTAGACCAACAAGAATTTTGCAAAAGAAATTTCTTTAATTGGGTGGGGGGGGTGGCATTCTTGCAAAAGCTGTGATGCATGCTACGGCAACGCTGCTGCGATTAGCCTATGTCTAGAGCCTATGGGGGGCCGGGGGGGCACGGAGGTGGAGAGATGGATAAATTTGCTCCTTTAGGGTTCGTGTTTATAGATTATCATGTCCTAATCCCTGCTGCTGAGGGGGATGGGAAGAGGTTGGGTGAGGCAGTGTTTATCAACTGTAATCTGCTATGGCCATAGCTGTAAAGGATTTTCAGGAAGCAGTTAAGGCAAGGTCCAGCGACTCTTATCTCAGTGTTAAGTAACCTGATTAGAGGGTAGCAACTACTGAGCCCTCGAGGGGAAAATAAGCCAGCTGTCCTGGAGCATCGAGGTGTCACAGGCTTGTTCACAAGCCCTAAGCATCAAGCCAGTGACCATGGACTGGGCTATCAGAGCCCCTCAAAGCAGCAAAACGAGTGATTTGCTTGTAGGTAGATGCTGTGGAGACAGGTGAGGGCTCAAGGGTGCTCTCCTTGACGTCCACACAATAGAGGCCATTGGGGAGGGATATTGGAGGGACCTCTGACATGATGATTAGGGTGCGTGGACTTTCTCAGCGTCAGGTCTACAGTGGCGTAGGCAGGTAAGTGAGGAGTCAGGAGCCATGGAGAAGAGAGATGCCCGAGTCTAGAAGCTGACCCAAACAGCATGGGAAACCTGCACATCTAATCTCTGTTGGCAGATGTGACAGCACCAGGTGTGTAGGGTGCACACTAGCAGGCAGCGGGGTGATGAGTGGACCGGCTTCAGCAGCAGCTGATGATTATAGACTGATGTTGTGAGCACTTAAGCGAATTTCTAAGCATTTGGCCATTTTGTTCCCACTCCTCATGGGGAGAGATGAGGCCCTGTCTTGAGCTTGTAGATCAGTGGCACTGACCCTTAGTCGGACGAAAGTTGAAATGGCAAAGTGGGGATGCCGAGATTGAAGGAAGGGTGAGTAAACTCAAGCCTGACCGTGTCAAAAGTCCTTTAGGACAGAACTTACTCCTGCTACCAGCTAATGAAACTTTTCCTTTGGCTCATGGTTGAGGTCTCTGCTTTTGCTAAAACACTCGGGTTCTGCCCCGGTCGGAGGTTACCTGGTGAAACGTGGAACTGGGGGAAGAGGGGTTGCTTGACTGCATAAATAAGGATAGCTCCCGTGGAGGAAAGAGTCAAGCTGGGTGAAGCTGTAGCTGGTGAGTAAAACAAGCAATTGTAGTAGGGTGTGAGTTTGGGATAAAGCACTGATGTATGCGACACACTTCAATGCTCCCAAAGAGAGAGCCCTCTAATTGGCCAGAAAGTGCCTCCCTATCATTGATCTATTATACAGAGGCTTTGATCCAAGCGCAGGCCCCTGCCAGCAGGGTCATGATTGCTACTAAAGATGCATTAGCATCATGTCTCCATCAGGCCTTGTTCTCCATGCACCAGCTCCCGGGTGATGATGGTGACAGAGTTCGTAAACAGCAGGACATCCCCGAGAGGCCTGTGATGGAGGGAGTGGTTTCACAGGGGAAGGTGTCCAGCCAAATCGTCTTGTTTGCTGAACCTGGCTGCAGCCCAAGTTGCTCCATGGCTGCCACCTTGTGGCATGGCCTTTGGCCAAAGCGTCGTCCTTTGTGGCACTATAAGCATTCACAAAACTGAGTGGCTTAAGTGGGTCATACAGATAAGCCCTTATCCTGAGCGTGCACACAGCTGAAAGGCTTGGTTAAGCACAGTGCAGAAGAAACCCAGACCCCTGGATGACCACAGCCCACGGTGTTTGATACCCCAGCAGAGCTATTTCTATAACTCTTCAGGGGACAGTCTCTGCGCTGATTTCTCTCCTGCCTATATGGACACCTGTGGAATGAGACCTCATCCACTTCATTCAGCTGAGCTCCAACATATCAGCTGATAGACGGGTTGTGGATAACCCCATCTCTTGCTGGTCAATGAACTGCAAACTCATTGAAAACAGGGCTGGAAAGGACCTTGGGTGGTCACCTAGTTTACCACCCATGTCCACCCCCCTCCCCACCCCTGTTCAGGGAAGCATCGGCCTTGCCTAAATGCCCCAAACAAGTGGTTTTCAACCCTGCACTTTAACTTCCAAAGAGGGAGAATCTGCATGCAATTAATGGTGTCAATTTAACTGGGCCGCTGCATCTGCCCAGATTTGGAGCCTGACCTTTTTCAAGGCATCGGTGGAATTTCACAGGATGGAGCTGGTGTGACATATTCACATGTGCCCAAACCTCCTTTAATGCTTGATTTAGGAACAAGAATTTATGCCCAACAAACAAGGAAGACTATAGCGATGCTAGAGGTGAGAACTTAACTGAGAATTTCCTGACTCTCTTTTTCAGGCCAGCCTTCAATCTATCAAGTATATCAGGTTGCCTTGTATTTTGGCTTGGAAAGAGTCTTTATGAGCTAGAAAGCTCTTATCCCTTCTTGTTCCGATCTTTTTGAGACCCCTTTCTTAGACACATGCTCGCAAGACGGAGTTTAGCCACCAGAAGCCCGTGGAACTGGGAAAAAGTGCTGACAATACCCATTTGTGAGCTTGTGATGAAAAATGCATTATAACGCATGTGTACGTCTAAGGGTGCATTGTCAAAAGTGGTGTTGGCATGTTACATGAGAATTTCTTGAAGTTTAGATTTTCTACTATAACAGTTTTTAATGTAAGGCTTTGTAGCTGGGATAAAGTCTTGACCTTGAACCAGGGGCGGACAATTATTTTGGGCGGAGGACCGCTTACTGAGTTTTGGCAAGCCATCGAGGGCCGCGTGACAGGCAGCCAGGGGCAGATAAACATTAATTATCTAAATTTTTTAGGGGCCCCGCAGGCCAGATATAATGGCCTGATGGGCCGCATCTGGCCTGCGAGCCACATTTTGCCCGCCCCTGCCTTAAACGCTGATAATGCATAGTTAGGAGGTGATGA